TATTAAGGGAATCTAACATCTGTCTAAATAATTTGTCTTATCCTCTATCTCCATCTAAGAGGCATGTTCATTGGAAAATGCAGTGGTGCGCTACAGTAAGGCCCAGAGACCGACCTCGCTGCCCATCCAGCCTATTTTTCTGGTCCCCGCAGGCAAACCCCAGACACAGCACTTGGGCTGTCTTCTGGAGCAGTACATAAACCAGAAGAGCAGCAAGAGCTCTCAACCAGGCCACAAGTTCAAGGGCAAAAGCAGCCAAGGTTGTTCTAATCTGCAGGCATCACCAATGGGCAACCACTGCCCCATCTTCCTGGAGGCTCCCTCGAGCTCCGACACCTGCTCCACCTGCACGCCGAGCCCAGAGTTATTCAGTCGAGCATGGAGCCAGTCCCGCAGAGGCCAAGGATGCCCAAGTCCATTTACATTAAAAAGCAGCCAGGATCCAACCTACAGCCCACCGTCGAGACTGGTTCAAGATAACACAAGCCCACCTCAGAGTACCACTTTTTCAAATTTGATTGCAGCCCCACTTAAGTCCCACCTTGTTAAAAGTCCCGCCTACCAGGACCTTATTAACCTCACCCCTGAGCAGGGCCAAACCAAGACAGAGCCCAGGAGTCCCTATCAGACCCAGACCCCCTCAACATTTTCTCATACACCACCCACTTTACTCCTGACCACTGACACCCATCACCCAAACCTGCAGGCCTCCCTGTCTCCTCCCACAGCCGTACAACCTGAGCAGGAGCTCCCTCGGTGCCGCGCTGCACCTGCAGCTGACTTTGGCTTTTTTGATAATAGTTTTACAGCTGCCTTCTCCTCTGTAGCTCCTCTTTCCTATTTGAGTTCTCTGTTTTCCATGGCTGCTTCTGGGCTGCAAATCCAGCACTCTGCTGGGCTCAGTGGGAAGCAGAGTCAGAATCAACACAGTGAGACTCTGATCCTGAGTGACAGGCCGCCCACAGAGTTCTGCCTCTCACCCGATACATCTTATGAGTCCATGTCTATCAGCCATCTTCAGAGGAGAGGTGAGGACACTGAATGACTGATATATATTTTGTGTAAAACATGTTAATTACATGGAAAATCATTGAAATCATAATGGTGTAAAACAAAGTCACCCAGTAACGGCAATGACTGGATTCCTTCTTGATTGGATTGTCTAGCCAGTGATGAGCTGTTGAGAACAGTAAAAAAACAAGTCACTGTGCCTTCAATACCCTGAAGGGGCTTCCTCTCAAACATGACCTATTTTTAACTCTCCCTGCACGGGATTGGCTAAGCCTGCTGCTCTGTAGCCTATGTGTGTGCTACTGCACGCTTCAAGAGAAGACAAGAGGAGAGAATGATGCAGTAGAAACAGTGCTAATTATTTATAGACACACATATTCATTTAGTGTTTCCATATGGCCCACACGTGCACATTTGATTCTATAAATGTGAGCCTTCTGTGATGGATAACCAAGGATGGAGACGCTGTGGTGAACCATCAGTGTGGTGCAGCACTGCAGGCAGCATCAACATGCATAAAGAATTGACCATGACATTTGCAGAGGCTAGCCAGTATGAGATGAGGAAAGCCAGGCAAGGGAAAGCAAGTAAATGAGGAACGCTGCTAAAATGGACTCTTTTATCTTTGGCTCACTTTCACATTTGCATTCCCGCAATATGATAATGAACCCTGAAAGAAATCTCTCATGTTTCTATGCAGTGACCCAGTTAGGGAGGTGGAAATCTTATGGAGCGTGTTCATGATTGAGTCCTATTTTCTTTAAACGAGTACAACATATGACATAATTTCAACCTGCTTCCAATACAAATAACCATGCTTAAATAATTTTCGAAAAGTGACCAGACAATCTAAATTACAGCTATAGAATCACAAATAAAGAAACTAATTGATTTGTACTGGAAGCAGGTTGGTTCGAAATGTTTATATTTATATATTTATTTAAACAAGAACCATGCATACAAATAAATTAATCTCAGAAAAGATCCCAGATTTGAGCTAATAGTTCATTTCCATCCAGTCCTTAGGCAGGTACATAACAATTAACAAACACTACACCACACTATACGTTTTCACATACAAATGATACACTAAAATGACATAATATAGCATTTACAATGTAACACATATTGTATATTGTAATACATCAATCTCCAATGTCTCTCCTTGTCCAATGTCCCCAGGTTTGCTGAGGTCTGTGAGCAGGGCCGTGGATTTAATCATGGCACATTTTGGCAGCAGCAGAGACCCTGAAGAAAAGGTCTGAATTTGGCAGAGCTAAGCAACTATGTTTCGCAATGGAAAAGCGCCAAACTGATATTACTTACACTGCAGAACAGGAGTCAAATAACTTGTGTCAGCAGGAAATATATTGTATTATATTTCTTTCCTTCTGCTGCAGATGCGACTGGGTAACAGCTCATGCAGTCCTACAATCGGCGGCCTGGTCCTGGAACATTTGTGTCCGGCGATCCAGAATATTTTAGAGGATGGGCTTAGGGATCACAAGCTGGATTTCATCGTTGGGCAGCGTCGCAATCACTCCTGGGGTGTTGTGGAGGTCTCTACTAGGATAGGTAAATGCATAAGAGTGAAGATGATTCAAAGGAAGTGCCATGAATATAGTGGCATACCGATGGAGCAGCTTGTTTGTAGTAAACTGTTTGTTGATGAAGTATTTTTGGTCTGAAACAGGTCCATCCACCAAGGTCCTTCACAGCCTGGTCTCCAAAATCAGACAATTTCCTCAACTCTCCAGCCAATGCATGAGACTGAGAGCCTTCATCATGGGCCTGCTTAAGTAAGATACTCTTTAATCACACTTTTAAAGGTAATGAATGAATGTAAGCTATAATCCTGTGTTGGTTTATTTGTTTTCTCTTTCAGCTTGAGAGCTTTAGAATTCTGGCTCAGTCACCTTCAGAGTCAAACAGGTGAGTGCCAATACATATCCTGGCAAATGGTCCACCCTCAGACCTCTCAACAACTATTGAAAGGACTGTCATGAAATATGATTCAAGTTCCCCACTGAATGTATTGACCATGTTAGCATGCTATCAATAGCACTTAGCCCAGTTTTAGATCACTAATGCATTTGTTTCTATCTTTGTTTACACCTGTTACTTCTCCACAGATTTAGTGACGACATACTACCATTCATGGGGTTTCCTGTCCATGTCCCTGGGTCAGTGTCAGCCCTTGTTTCAGGAGCTGCTGCTTCTGCTGCAGCCGCTCACTGTGATGCCCTTTGACCTCAACTTGCTCCTGGAGCCTCGAATGTTACGTAACAGACAGTTGTGTTCGGAGGAGCATGGTGTTTCTCCTCCTCAGCCATGCTCAGCCCTCCTAGTGACCAGCTGGCCACTACTGCAAGCCGACAAAAAGGCCTACAGCAGCCACAGTCAGCAAAACAACATTTCACAGCAGACAGGCCTTCATTGCCAAGACTCTCCTAGGTCTCAGAATTGCATCAAGCAGGACTGTGAAGGGAATTGGGCTAACAGGAGTCCATTAGCTCCTATTCAAGAGTGGTGGTCGAATATGCCTGACCTTGTGGATGGTGTGGTTGAAGGGGAGGACTGTAGACAGAATTGTGCAGAAAATTGGTCTCAAATTAGTATGGACAGCAGGCATGAAGACAGGATGGGAGAGAAGGAAAATGAGGCCCCAATTGCGACCACATTTGTCCAGGCTGAGAGTCCATATCAGGGTGGGCTGCGCTGGGCCAAACTGTTTGGAGCCGCTGATACTTCCACCAGGACGGAGACCGTTTCCCAGAGTCACAGTGGAGCACAAACCAGAAGGTAAGAACCAGCCGTGATAACTGGTAAAGATGTTGTTGTGTGATTTTCTTACTACTTTAATATATATCATTGCTTTCACAGGTCCAGGCGACCATCGCACTGGCTGAATTTTGACAGATCCCATCTTGGACTGTTGGCTCAATCCATCAGGTCAATGACGCTGGGAGGAGCAAGCTCAGACTAACAAGGACTACTGAAAACTAAATCCTCTGTGGATGAAGGACAGAGTTGGGCTTATTTACTGTAATAACCTGCATGATAATAGTTTGCTCAACTGAACCGAAAGCACATACATTAAATGAATCACAGCTTTAGCAATGGCCCTTATTCATCAGGCTGAGCATTGCAGCATAAGTCAGGTTGCAACATTGAACCCTAAACTATCCAGTTAAAAGTAATTCATTTTAAGTTGGTGTAGCACCACTAACTGTAGCATCATTTCCACAGAAGATCCAGAGATTTTTACCGGGAAGTAGCTTGATGATTAAGGGTCATTCCTCCATTCTTGTGGTGCAAAATTATCTATTTAGAAGAAGAAGATGAACGTTTATTAATCCCCCTAGGGGGAAATTCAGAGTTTACATATCTGTCATTCTCTACATAGCTGTACATTTTATCTTTAGGTGGGAAAAAAGCCAGAAAATACACTCGTAACTGTGCCAAATATGCTACACACCAGCCTCATGGATAGTCAGTGGTGTTTGGTTTCCTGTAGCCTGTTTGAGCAAATCCCCAGCATGGATTTTCTGCATGAGTTAAAAAGGTGCTTTAGTACTTCCTATATCTCTTCCTATAACTCCTCCTTAATGTTTTTATTGGTGAAGAGCTAGGTTTTGTACATTTTCTGGCACTGAAAGTGTGAAAATAGTTTGCAGTAGGATGTCTTCCAGTGAATTTTGTTAAATTGCACAATATATGCCATCTGGTGGCTGTTTCAGGTACTTTAATGTGTGTCAGCTACATTTTGATAGACTAGTGGTTAGTTAATAAGGAGGAAAGAACAGAACGTGTGTTTATATATAGAACATTAATGTAATCATGTGCAATCTGTGAAATAATTTGACCCAGCATCATTGTCTCAACCTCTGAATGTTTCCTCTAATGCCAGTGACAATCAAAGTCTGTCAATAAAGACTTCTTTGTATGCCAACAGTAAACATTACAAATGTTTATTCATGCATTTCATGTCATGAGGATTTCCTAAATATTTCTTAAACTTGACTCATGTCACAACTTCATCTTGCCAGTAATGTTCCTTGTATTGAAGTGGATAGTTTTATGATTTTGCCTGACGGTTCCTCTTGATGCCGCTCTTTTCCAGTGCATTCTTGGAAAGTTGGCCAAAGGTTTGTCCATACGTGAACTGGTACCCTGTGGGATGGCACAGAGGGAGAAATGCTTAAACTTGATGCTAAGAGATTACATCTATTCAATACTATTTAGAAAATAGCTGATAAAAGGCAAATGTGTTGCTAACACTGACCTGGGATGTGTCCTGTGAAGGATGGCACCACACCCCTGTCTGATGGATAGATGGTAGCAATGGGAGTTATTGTACTTTCCCTCCTTCCCGGGATGCTTAGGGACGTGGGATCAGTCTGCTGCTGTTTCCCGAACTGGACCAGTACCTGGTTTGTAGTGACGGGGAAGCCTTTGCCAATTAGGAAGCGAGATGTTGGCACATGCCCTGTAAAACCTGTTTAAAAGACATCACAGTGAGCTTCTAGAGTACTTTAGGAAAATATAAACAGCCTAATTTTCCCTCTAAGTGGAGACCAAAATAAAAATGATAATTTGATCCTTTTACGTATCTGATGGATGTGTAAATTGGCAATTGTTCTCCATAACAACTTTTTCATATCAACTATAGTGGCCTAATGCATTTTGAAGGAAACAAATGGTTAAGTTCTCTGATGTACCTGTTTTAAAGTACTTGTGTGGGTTATCATCATCCATGAAGTATGGTTTTCCTGGGGGGGTGAAGGACTTTAAGGGCCTGTAGGGGATTTCTTTGTTGGAGATTTCTCTCAAGTGGGGTCTTGGTTTCTGAGCCAAATGATAACAGAGAACAGTTAAAAACACAAATGACTCAGAAATCCAACCAGCTAAAATTCTATATTCATCCATCCATCCATCCATCTTCTCCCGCTTATCCGTGGTCGGGTCGCGGGGGTAGCAGTTCCAGCAGAGAGCCCCAAACTTTCTTTTCCCTGGCGACATCAACCAGCTCTGACTGGGGGATCCCAAGGCGCTCCCAGGCCAGCGAAGAGATATAATCCCTCCACCTGGTCCTAGGTCTACCCCTTGGTCTCTTCCCATCTGTGTCAGGCCCTTCTGGAGAGCTGACCAGTTCTGCTTCGGTCTGTCTCAGGGTGGATTACATTACAGTGATCTGACACTAGAGTTCCACTATGGATAATTAAACAAGAGTGAACCTCTTCAGAGGTGCAATGTCAACATGTACATTATGTGTGCGTGCGGGTGGGTTTAAAAGAGAGAGAGAGTTACTTCAACCTGTGTGTTGGTGTAGTTGACAACAGCTGGCAGCTCTGTCGATTCCCGTTGGATCTTGGCACGCCCATCCTGGTGAAACTCTGACAGCGCCTTACGGCATGTTTCTGAGTAGGTGCAGGCAAAGTAGTTCTGGCTTTTTGGAATGAAGCCTAAAACAGCAACAAATGAGATACAGTATCAGTTTGACCTGAATTTCTGCCAAGCAATGAAAATAGTTTTGGATTTCATTCACTGTGTTTTTTCTTTGTCTGTCTTCACTACAATACCACAGCAGTGAATATATGTAAGTATAACATTTAAAACGAAGTTAACACCAACCTTCTTCTGGAAAAAGTGTCCCTGGAACTGCTTAAAGAGTTTTAAATGAAAGTATTACATTGGTACTACTCATATCTAATAAAATAGTGCTGTGGATAATGCAAAGCGACTGCACCATTGTTTTTAGAAAGATACGAAGGAATTTGGTTGAACTGATCCTGTAAAATGCATTGCAAAAATGCATGTGTACATAATAAAATAAAAGGACTTTAACTTTGAAATTACATTTCTGCAAGTATGGCTGTTTGGTGAATGTTATCTCGTGTTTTAAACCTGGTCCACTTAACTGCTCTACTTGATCATTTAGAAGTTCGACACACATTATTCTCATGTTCTAGTAGTCTCAGCTTGTTGTGCTGTGAATAGCAACAATTGTACAGCCTATTGCCAGAATTATATTTATTTAACATTATACATATGTCCTTAACATCTTGTAAAATGTTACTAAGTTCCTAATATGACATCATTCTCCATGAGGTGTACAGTTACTGTACACTGTTGACCCCAGTGTGATACCTGCCTGTGTATCCTGGTATCATCCTATTCAAGTTACTGTCAGAGGTGCTTCTCAGTGTGCCTGTGGAAGGGACATGACCCCTGCCCAGGACCAGCTGATCAGAGTGTTTCCCCTGGGGACTGGTCAGCAGCTCAGCTGTGAGCTGGCCATAGGATCTCCCCACTCTGTACTTGAGCTGTGGGCAATACCCTGCATACCTGAACACAACAGGGCGGCAGGGGTAAACACACACTGCAGCATCTGAGGGCCTCCGAAGCAGGTGTTCAGTAAAAAAAAAGATAGAATTTCATGTATCACTTACACATATTTTAGACACACATTCTGTGACAATGAGTAGAAAGAGAAATTCCGTTTTTGAGGGGATGAATTTACAGAAACATCTTTCTTAATAATTCCGTAAATTACAATAACAACTTCAAAAAAGCTGGGGAAAAATGTACAACCCCTTTTTAAATCAATAAATAAAAAAATGGTTGTACAATTTTACATTACATTTGTTACTTGTTAGACGCTTTTATCCAAAGCGACTTACATACTCAATACTGTGGGCAATCCCCACAGGAGCAATTTGGGGTGAAGTGTCTTGCCCAGGGACACAACGACTTGCTGACTGCAGTGGGGTTTGAACCTGTGCTCCCCTGATCCGAGCACCAACGCACTGCGCCACAATGACTCCTTATTAGCCTTAATACAGATCATTAAACGCTGAACAGCCATGCTTCTTAGATAACCTTATCTTTATTAAGTTGTTTTTTAACCAAATCTCGTGGCCGGAGACTTACCCTGGGATATAATGTGGATCAGGTGTCAGCAGGACGTTTTTCTCCATGTTGATCAGGATGAAGCAGCTCGCCCTCCTGCACGCGGTGTTTGCTGGTTGCTACAGTCAGACACACACACACACACACACACACACACACACACACACACACACACACACACACACACACACACACACACACACACACACACACACACACACACACACACACACACACACACACGCGCACACACACACACTGATGGAGCTCACATGTTACTAACGCTTCTGCTGTCCCTCTTTTATAACTTTCTTCGGGTCTAATTTCTGTCAAATATTGCAATAATATAACTCTGGTTTACAGTTCTCGATTAAGTCCTCCATTTTGACAGACTGACAAACACTAAATAACATCACTAATGCGTCATTGCAGTGATGTGATTAGTGTTAAAAGGGAGTGTGGTTTGACTTTCCAATACTGTATAGACCAGTGGTTCCCAAACGGTGTGCCGCGGCACACGGCAAGTCCGGGTGTATGGGCTCAGAACAGTCTCATAATACACACATGCACACAGAAGGATTCAAACTTGTATTTCCGGATCCACACTTGTGTTTTTCAATGCACACACAAATGTGTTCCGTTTCATATACATGTAAATAAAATCCAAATACAGAAAAAAGTTTTACATGTGTATTTTTGATCCTCACTTATTAGTTTCCCGTTTAAATCTCCTGAACCTGCAAACACAAACAGCTTTCTGTGCACGGATCGCTTTGCATTCGTGTGTGGGTTTTTTGAGACTCCCCTGACGGTCAGCCGATTCGTACTTGTAATTTTTTCTATCTATAGCCAATCAGATGTCTCCTTCATTCTAAGCCAATCACATGAGCGCGCCCCCACGAGGGTAAGATTACTTCATATACGCATTTTGCGCAGTCTGGTCAGCTCGCTAAACAGAGGGCGGAGCATCAGGTGATCATGCAGAGCAGCGTGTCTCCATCAGACTCAGCAGCTGATCTGATCTCTCTCTCTCGCGTCCGGTTATACTTCACTCGCGTTTATGTCCATATTGATCAGATCCAGCTCTCCTGATCGGCCTTTATAGAGAGCACCGATCAAACTATTAAGAGTGAATATCGGCCGATAATGACCGGCGGGGCTCCCCCGCAGGGTCGGCTCTAAAACAAATCGAATGGGGGGGCAATTATTTACCAAGGGGGGGCACACACTGCCGTCAACAACCAACACACAAACACCAACGCAACTTCAGCTGTAAAGTCTATTGTTTTTCACACGCATTGCAGGGTGTTGCGCTATTTTATAGCGCACCTATGACTTGTGCATACATGCACGGTTGTGGCACGACCACCAAAACAGAAACATATGGACATAGGCCACCATATAAAAGTGTGCAAATGTATTTAGTATCCTATTCATGTGAACATGTTTTAGGTGGGGGTGGACCTAACCTCCTCTAGGAGGGTCTATTGAAGTTAAATGCATCAATCTGGTGCACTTTGAGAGCAAAATGAAGAGATCTATGGATAGCCTATCTCTCAGCATCCATATGACAGAACTGTACACAGATTTACTTTTTCTTTATGGATATTTTACTAATCACTCCCCTTTTAAACTGTATTCTTGTGTTACTGTCCTATAGTATTTCATACCCGTTTTTCATTTATTCTCTTATTTTTTAATAACTATAATGATCATATAAAGGTGTTCCTCGCAAATACTTGTTTACATAAATGGTGACCAAACCGTTTGAGACCCACTGAGATAACTTACACTAAAGTTAACTATCTAAACACTGAGAGAGTCCTTACCTCACTAAGCTGACGTTATAAGATCCTCTCAGTCTGACAGGAGAGGACTCTCCTCCACCTTGGTGTAGAAACAGCTCTTTATATCCGTTAGCACAGCCAGCTAACCAGATGCTAGTTACAACATTCCACGTTACCGCTCGCGCACTCACAAAATGCGCTCGAGCCATACACACACACAGAGCCGAGCTTGAATGAAACACAGAGACCCAGAAGTAGGCTACTTGTACTGTACTGTATATCATATTATTTTCGATGGCTTTACTGTATAATCAGTTTAACAGATCGCCACTGGGCTTTCATCTAAACACACAGCCACGTAATGATAACAAAACAAAGGTCGAGGGTCATTGGTCAAGCAACACACCAATCAGAGAGCAGCAGTGAGCACACCTCAGGCTGTGTTTTATATTTGTATTCTTTATTTTTGATGTATTTCACACAAAAAACCTTTACGGGCCGTCCACACTACAGCTTCGACAGCTTCAAAAACGGTTTCCAACGCGTCTGCCCATTCACTTTAAATGGGGTAACGTCACGTTGCCTCGCTTTTCACCGAACTAAATTGTGAGTAGCATAGCGGTCCGTCTCCGGCGTCAGAAGTTGAACAAATGTTCAACTTCTGACGCCGGAGTAGCCAGCGCCAGCCAATCAAATCCCGTTTCTGAAAATCTGACAGCTCAAGCCCTAGCCAATCAAACCGCGTCTAAGCTGGGAGAGATATCCCGACGTTCATTTCTATATTTAAAAAAAAGATGGAGGAGAAACTAATTATCGCCGTAGCAAATCACCCGGTTTTGTATGACCAGACCCTCTTCACCTACCGGGATACAAACCGGAAGAACCAGTCATGGAGGGAGGTGGCAGAGACAGTGGGTGAAACTGGTTTAAAACTGAGTTTATATATATATATATTGCTCGCATACATTTTTTTTGCTTTGTATGTCGGGGGCGGGAGATTCATGTGATTGGTTGTTGGTCGCGTTGCTCGAATAAAATCCCCAAGCTTCAGACACGCCCAGCTCCAAGCTTTTTTTGAAGCTGTAGTGTGGACAACGTTAGTGGAAACATTTTCACTTATATGATTACAAAAAAAAAACGGCAAAGTGGCAAGGCTTGCCCACGTGTTGGGGGGGCACAGTGACTCATTTGGGGGGGCATGGCCCGCGAATGACCCCCCATGACGCCGACCCTGCTCCCCCGTGTTAACTGATCGAGTAGGCTAAGCTAACCTGTAGCTGCTCCACACTCACAACAACTTCATACAGACATAAATAAAGCAGCTGTATTCGCCATACATACATACATTTAAAACGGTGTACACAAGCATTCATCAATGGTTTGGAAAGTGGCGCTGTACCTTCCTTAATAATATAAAGGCTTGTATTTGCGTGCATTTCCTGTTCGGAAAGTGGCGCTGTACTGAGAGTGGAGGGTAGCGCCTGCAGGCAAGCTCCATGGAGCTGTCAGCTCCGGACTGCGCAAAATGCGTACATGAAGCGCTACGTCATGAACGCAATAAATCTACCCTCGTGGGGGCGCGCTCATGTGATTGGCTTAGAATTGAGGAGACATCTGATTGGCTATAGATAGAAACAATTACAAGTACGAATCGGCTGACCGTCAGGGGAGTCTCAAAAAACCCACACACGAATGCACAGCGATCCGTGCACAGAAAGCTGTTTGTGTTTGCAGGTGCAGAGGTTTTAAACTGAAAACAAATATGTGAGGATCAAAAATACACATGTAAAACTTTTTTCTGTATTTGGATTTTATTTACATGTATATGAAACGGAATACATTTGTGTGTGCATTGAAAAACACAAGTGTGGATCCGGAAATACAAGTATGAATCCTTTTGCGGATCATGAAATACAAGTGTGAATCCTTCTGTGCGCATGTGTGTATTATGAGAGTGTTCTGAGCCCATACGGGTGTGCCGTGGGATTTTGTGACAACCATACGTTATTATTGCAATATACAACTACACAAAAATAATTATTTTTTTACTATATCAGTACTTGTAGGTTTATATGTACGTAATCTGCGCGACTTGTGCGTCCACATCTCCATGTGCAGTGCTGCATAAACATGGCTGAGTCAGCGATAACTTTCGCCCATTATTTTGAGTTCGTCCGAAGAATAGACAGGAATGTGACGGTGAGGTGCAAACTGTGTCCAGGCCAGAAGCTGTTATCCACTGCTGTAAACACCACGTCAAACCTCAACAAACACCTGCAAAGAACACATGCTAAGGTGAAGCTACCGCACATGCTATTTGTTGTTTGTTTATATCACGTAGTCTGTTCTTCTTCTCTGTCTTCCAGTTGTTGCCTGTTTTGAATGACAAATACACACTACCGCCGCCTGCTGGTAAGGAGAGTTATTGCCACTCACGCATGCGCAGTTCGTACGTGCTCGGCGAGTAAAGTAACAAGTTACTCTATGTAGATAGTAACGAAGTAGTGTAATATATTACTTTTTTTTAAAGTAATATATTTAAAAAAAAATAGTAACGACCCCATCTCTGGAGTTGGCGTTCTCTACTCTGATTTACATGAAGAATAACAGGAGGTCACGGCTCTCTGTTGAATAGGACTTGCGAGTGGCCCTCTCCTCAGTGCCACCAATGATTAAAATATTCTGCACGCCCCGACAGGCACATGTATCTCACTATTTGTAAATCGGCAAAAATATTTACAATAGCACATGTTTCAATGCTGATTGCTGAAATGTTACATTTATAATTTGTAGTTCAGGACCATGGACAATGCAGCTTCCTTGCATTGACAGTTCTCTGTGCTGAATTTCTGCTGACTTTCCTTTGCCTCATTTTAAATTTTGTGACCTGTCTGGTTTAAAGTGTTGCTGCTTTGATGAAGCCTAATTTGATAAAGTTTCAAATTAATTTCTGAAATATTTCGTTAATAAATATTTCATGAGTAATATAGTTGTCTTTGTCACATTTTATTTGGCATTAGTAAATAATTATGCACATTTACAGATATTTTACATGATATGAGTAATAACACGTGTTATACGGGCTATTTTGCACAATAGGTGTGCCTTGAGATTTTTACTTGTCCTTTGGTGTGCCTTGGGCACAAAAAGTTTGGGAACCACTGGTATAGATGAGAGTAACAAATGCGTCACTTCCGGGCAAAAATAACGGCTCCGCCCACTTTTGGGGGAAAACAACGCTGTCAGTTGAACGGCGGTCAATACAAATTCTGAAGTTTTTGCCAATCCGATCAGAAATGTAAGAAAACCGGAGACTTTTGGATCTTCAAAGAGCCCGATTCCAATGGCCAGACAAGCAAACAATTG